CATAGCATTGTCAGATCGTCTTTGATTTCATTATCTTTGGTATCTACCGTCTTCCTTCTAAAATAATAACATATTATGAAGCCAAAACTAAGGCGTCTTTCAATTTCCTTTTCACGTCATAGGTGCATTTATTTTTATTTTTTTAAATAAAAACAAGGAAGTACATGATTTGGGAATACAAACTATTGATATGTATTGAAAGAGATTTTTAATACAAGTGTATCTACGTATTGTGTTTATGAATGAACAGACTAAGTAAGTAAGTTTTTTTATTGTTAATATTTATGTAAAATAATAATTGACTACATTTAACTTCTATATGATATATATAATAAATATCATTCAATGAATTAAATAGTATCATTAATAAAAAAATGTCTTTAATGTAATTTTTGTGTTAGGTATTTTTTTTTCTTTGTATCTTTCTTTATTAGAATTGTTAAAATAAGTTACCTTGTACTGCAGATACCTGTTTGTACATTAGTCATGTGCCTGCAATGAAGTTCACAACATATGTTAAAGGAATCCTTTTTTATGCCCCCGCAACTGAAAGTTGGGGAGGATATTGTTTTACCCTTGTCCGTCCGTCCTTCCGTCCGTCCTTCCGTCCATCCGTCTGTCCGTCCGTCCGTCCACTATAGTTATTCCAGATGACTCCTTTTACAGTTTGAATGCTGGAAGTTTTCACTTTGCTGGCTGTTTGTACTTATATTGAAGGTGTGCATGTGGTCAGGGTTTTGGTTTTTATTGGTATTTGCTCTTTTGGGAGATAGTTGAACTTTGTAATTTTTGCAGTATATACTCGCATAAGAGGTACATAACGTTTCCGGGTTACTCCTCATACAGTTTGAATGCTAGAAAGTTTTCACTTTGCTGGCTGTTTGTACTTATATTGAAGGTGTGCATGTGGTCAGGGTTTTTTATTTGTATTAATATTTGCTCTTTTGAGAGATAGTTGAACTTTGTCATCTTTGGAGTATATACTTGCATAAGAGGTGCATAGCGTTTCCGGATAACTTCTCCTACAGTAAACCATAGACCTATGTGCTCCCATGCTCAACTTTGTTTATTTGAAAATAACACTTTGCGCGAAGGGCATCATTTTGTCCACCAGACATAATTATATCTAAAAGAAAGTCCTACATTGACTTTGCTATAATGCAATTACTTAGTAAAGTGCAGAGTGGAGTGTGGAATATCATTTTGCCTAATTTTCATCTTACATGGGTATCGATCTTGTTTTTTCTGTCGCCGCGATAACCTTATCTTGATGTATGTATTGATATAGTATGTTTCATATTTCTAAGCGCAAAAGCATAAAAAATATGTTGAAGAACACCACTGCTAAAACTAATGTGTTATGAAAATTAATCATAAAAAATTACTTTAAAAAAAAAAATGTATACCAATAAGATATTGGTGATGTGCTTTTGTAAGGTTCACAAATATCGTAAAGTTGTATTTTGGATTTATTGTTTTGTTTGGTTGCTATTCTCGTCTATACAATCGTCATTCATTTTACTCATACCACTGAATATAGCCATACGTCCTCCATAGTAATAGAACATTTAGGAGAATTCAATTATTGTTAAATATTTGATGGGTTAAGATAGCAGAATTGTTCGAAAGTTAATTGCATATAGTTTTCATAACACACGTAAATGAATGACCTGGTAACATCATTGTACAGTAGTTTATATTATTGAACAAAGTTACAAAAATAAATTGCATGCGTATTTAAATAACTTACCGCGGATTTCTAAACGTTATGATATAACGTCTTTTGCATGAACGATCAAATATCACTCGATATGTCTTCCGTGTCAATTGCATAAGGGTCATATGTACAATTTGATATCTGGAATCAGCAAGGCGGTTTTACAAAAGCAAAAAAGAATAAAGAATCAGTTCAATAAAATACACTCGCCTTATGGGAGGGGCTAGTTCTATTTTTATAAACAGAAAATAAAGCGAAAATCATTTTGATCGGGTTAATATTGAGGAGTAGAATGACGCCTTTCTATTACATCTTATATTCAAACGTAACCTATTTGTTGTGCCGATAACGATTGTTACCGACAACCAAAGCTAGAAAACATGCAGGCGTGTTGTAGGAAATATATATATTACCTATTATAAATACATGTATAATATGAAACATAAGGCTGTAACCGTCAGGAGTCATGAACATTACACATTTAAAAACAAAGTAGAAAGGTTAAATTTTTTTGTTGGTGTGGTATAATTCAAGTCAGTATATTGATAAGATGTAAGCGATTATCGAACGGATGATTATTCAAGGACAAAACGATATGATCATTCATCTTATCATGCAATAGTCATACATTAATAAGTAGTCGACAAGCAAGAATGAGGTTAAGGAAACAGTTTGGTTCTAGTAATGAATATTTTGAGATAAATATTATATTTGGTGCGTACATGTATATCATCTTTGGGGGAATATTTATTATTTTTCGTTCTTTTTATACACAGTATCATCTATTTGTCAAAACATCATGAATAAAACTGAATTTGTTACACAAACAATAGTATATCCATTTTCTGTTCTATATGTCTACCGAGTTTTAAATATCGTTTCAAAGATACACAATGGTTAGTTTTAATTTTAACGTACTGCTAGTATGAACTTAGCCAGTAAGGTCATGGAAAAGAAGCATATTACACTACAGGTAGCTTTCTTTTTCTGACTGGATATCTAATACTAATTATTATAATAATTATACATAGTAATATAAATAAAAGCCTCTTTACATAATTATCAAAACAGTCTATTTTTAGAAAACTATTTAAAAGTCTAAGTCAAATTCACACGATTTTCACTTTTAGATAATTTTGTTTGCCTCTATAAACACACATTTACATAGATATTGTAATAGTGTCATCACAGTGATTGCGTAAATAAAACTTTCAATTAATTTTTATATTCTTAAATAACTTTACTCCTACTTAACGCAAAGTAAAATTCGGTAGTTTTCTAGTTTAATCTTTATATATTTTTCCAAGGTAATGGTTATTTTACTGACAACGTGTGCAATACTAGTACATATAGCTTAACTTTATAAACAATCTTGGATATATCATGTTAGTATTATTTTCTTGAATTATGAATAAAAAGTTGAATTTCATATTTCCTTCTGACGTTTATATTATTAAAGGAAAAATATTTTGTGGAAAAAATGTTATTTAAATCTTTTTTTTTTTTTTTACTTTTATAGACGTATTTATAAGGATTTATACTGATTTTGCTTCTATGTCATTATCAACCAGACTAGCACGTGTCTGTATGTTGTCGTCATTGTAATCATTTACAAGTCTAAATGTGTTCATGAGGGTATCGCACTGCACTGTGCATATTTACTTTTTTATGAAATTCTTTGTGGAAAACACTCCACAGCTGAAATAGTAAGATATTCAAATTGAGTCAAGTTTTCGAAGTTTTCAAAGACGAAACATGCTAAAAGCATGCAGTCATGTTTTCACTGTTCTCATTTATCAAATGTTTATAACAAAACAAGTTTGTCTATTCATTGCTTTAAACCGTACCTTACTTAAAGGAAAACAGAAACACAAAATTACAAAAAACAAATTATATTTTTTCGTTTTTAAGATAGCCAAGACGGTATTAACTATTATTGTGATTTTCTATCAAACCAAATTCCTAAAAAACGACAATGCTTATAAAATTTAAAAGTGAAATGACCATGTATTCCAAAGTTAGTGAAAGTAATAATGCAATCATACTGATTTATATAGTTGTTCTTATGTTGTGCTGTAACACCACTGCCTCAGTTTAGAAAGGAGGGTTGAGCAATCACAAACATGTTTAACCCTGCCAGATACTGTATATGCCTGTCCCAAGTCAGGAGCCTGTAGTTAAGTGGTTGTCGTTGATTCATGTCTGTTACAGTTGTTTTCGTAAATTGTTTTGTTACAAATCAGGCCGTTAGTTTTGTTAATTGAATTGTTTCATATTTTTCATGTCGGGGCCTTTTATAGCCGACTATCCATTGTGGGTTTTTCTCATTGTTGAAGATCGTACGGTTGCCTATAATTGTTTACACCACTTCATTTGAAATTTGGTGGATAGTTGTCTTATTGGCAATCATTCCACATCTCTTTTTTTACAGTTATGTGCACATTTTGTTTACAAGATTTATTTGCATATACTATTTACTATAAAAAGAGTTTCGACGCTTTGGAATCTTACGTCATTTCATTCTACTTTCTTATAAATTAATCAAGCGTACAATACTTATTTATTTGATTTAATTTGGTTTACTTCTCTCAAATACTTCTTCTTTTTTTCTATGTACAATGTATTTTGTAATAATATTTCAAACAACGGCAGCCTTTAGAATTATTTCTCACAAAACCTCATTATTTGAAAAAAAATATGTGTTAACAAACTCTTTGACAAATTTAAAAGTGAAAAAAATAAGTCAACGATTTCAGATTCGCTTTCAATTCAATACCGAAAAAAACACACCCCAACGAGACCACCGAGCCGGTTTTAAAAAAAATAGATTATATCAATGAAATAATCTGTGTAGTATCAATCAATATGACATACGGGGAAAACTCGAAATAGAGGTACACTGAAAAAGGTAGGCAAATGTTAAATATAAGTACAACTAAATATAAACAATAAAACATAGAGTATGAAAACAAGCAGTTTTCTATTTAATCAACCTTAAATATGCAGTTTTACATCCAAAACATGGGGAACATAACGTCATCACAATAAAAAAATATAAACAACGCAAAAATTTGATATGTGAAGTATACCTCGAATAAATTAATTCTTAAATTAATGTTCTTAAACAGCAAGGAATGACTTTGCTCCTTTCTTTTACTTATATAATTTAGAAAAATGGATCCTGATCAAAATTCTCACCGGCAGACAGGAACATGGACAAAGAGTGTTTACGTGGTTACATATTTTCTGTTTACTTTTGTAAAAACTCAGAGGGAAGGTTTGTTAAGTCTAAGTTTATAAAAATGTATGTTTAGATACTGTTTTAACAGCGGTATACTACTGTTGACTTTATTTATCGCTATAATGAATCACACTCAGCATTTTCGAAAGAAGCGTTATACAGAAGACATATAAGTTTTAGTAAAAGCGAAGCAAAAGATACCAAAGCGATATTTAAACTAACAAGTCGAAGAGTTCCGGTAAGCAGAATATACTCAACATGTGGCAGCCTTCGTGTTACTCGTGTACGTTTTATGAGAGTATATGTTGGTTTTCAATTTGAATTGGCAAAGTAGTCAAATGATATTCGAGTAATTTCCTTCTTTTCTATAGGAAAATAAACAAGTGTTTAAGACACCCCTTCGACGTTTGAACGAAAACTTATATCAAATACAATATAGAGGAAAGAAAATATATATATGGTTCAATCATAAGCCATTAGTTGAAATGGCATACTAATAAAGATATAAAAAAAACCACAGTCGATTAAACAATACACATATTATTTAATTGATCACCCGTCGGTGAGTTCATGTATCCCGGATGGGTAATCAGTTCTCTTTTCAACTATCGGCATCATTCGTGTTGCATCTGGCAACAAATAACTCATCAGAGATAATAGGCTTTTAATTTTGTTTGCAAAGACTCGTCAGTGGCGCTCGAGGCAAAATAGTTGGAATGCAAAATCAATATAGCATTTGAGGAGTATTGAAAACCAGCTTTTCTAAAAAGCTTTCAAAGGCATATTCGCCTGGTAGTGGGAAATATATTTGTGAGTTTAATGAGCAGTACATTCACAACAAAACGACGTAATAATGTCTTTTAATGTCAACAAATGAATGCCTGCCGACTCTCGGATTTGTGATAGCCTTAGGACAGGAGTATAAAGGTCGAGGAAAAGAAACATTCAGTGATGTTTTTATCGGAGAAAAAGAAACCAATCAAAGAAACCAGGCTTATAATTTGTACGCTACACACACGTTTCGTCTATAAAAGACTCATCAGCGACGCTCGATTCAACATAAACACAAACTTACAAAATTACAAATAAGGGGTCTTCAGTTTTCAAAATCAGAACTGGACTATGGCAATGACATGTAATATAAGATAAGATGTGATAGAATTGCTAAACACAAAACTTTGAATCAGAAAATTACGACATAGTTGTAAGCAGCAATTAAGGGTCACCATACGGCCTTCACCAATAAGGAAAAGCATTACCTTATAGTAAGCCATAAAAGGCACTGACCTTACAAGATGACAAAACAATTTAAACTAAAAAAAAACAAGCGATATGAAAAAAGAATTTGATATATGTTCAACATGAAAGAATGGCACAGGAATATTTGTTTGGTAGGCTTAAAGGCCTGTAATATGCAATCTTCAAATCAACAGGTGAAAGAAGGCACTTTCATTAAATGTATGTATTAGTCATTATTGATAAGGCCGACAATATTAGCAAACCTGTTGAATATAGAAAATTAAGTTTGTCAGTACAATTTTTTAATGACTCAATGTTAGTTTCCGAGGGTATCATTAGCTCAGTTGCCAGTGGTACAGACATGATTTATTACATACCTTAGCTGCAGTTCGTACACTATCTGTTGATCAATTTAGAAATTAATAGGAAACCCAGGTTCCATCCCACTCAGTAAAAGTTTACCATAATGAATTTGCTCCAATTGTCAAGTCCCTTTTGGTCACATAAATCTCCACGTGGTTTGGTACTAATACATTCTTCGCTATTACATATGTCGACTTTGAACGTCCCCGATGACGGAAAATCAAGACAAACTCTTAGAACCTATAAAACTTTCAAAGTGTTATTTGCATTACAAGTTAAGGTTATTTGTATATGTAGGAGAATTACGTCTCGTTGGGGGTGCATGCCAGCTACAGGGAAGACTTGAAATTTTTCATTATGGTATATGGGGAACCGTTTGTGATAATGGGTTCGGTTATAATGATGCAGTTGTTGTATGCAGGCAGTAAGGTTCAAGGTATGGATTTATTTCTTTCTTCATTCCTGCATTTAAAAATATCTATAATGCAGGTGTCTTAAACTATCCACTGCGCTGAAAAAAAAGATGTATTTTATTACTCCAGATGACCATCCAATGCAGACCGCTATCCTAATAAAAACACATATGTAATACGCGTTACTCTGTAGTCGATTTCAGTCAGGGTGCCGAAACAGTGATAGGTAAAAATAGAAAAAAATTAACTGGCCTGACACGAATTTTAGTTATACAGAAACCCAAACCAAAACAAAACAAGGCAAACTTACACATACCATGAGTTCGTAGTTGTAAACAAAAGAGCATTAGAAGAAGCTGAAGTGGGAATCAATCGGATTAAAACAAGCATAATATTCTAAAGATTAATATTCTCTGCATTTATCTAAGAGGAACAAAACAACCGAAATCGAAAAAATCTAAACAGCAATCTCAAAATGGACAATAATTTGCTTTAAAAAATAATTGAAACGAAAAATTAGTTAAGAACAATACCTATTATGAAGGAAATAAAAAAAAACGAATCAAAAAAACTTTAAACAGAAACGAATCAAATTATACATAATTTGTGTTTACTAATATACACTGAAAACACATTAATCATCAAGTGTCGCTGTTTAATAATACTTACACTATTATAGTTTGCAATACAACATACATACGGACCTGTGCACTATAATGAATATTTATTCTAAGTATACCACGTTTAAGAGAACCTGAAAAAATACTACTAGTATCTGAAAAATATTTTTATGTATGCTTCAAAGTTCCTGGACAAATGTTCAGTTCTATACATCTGGTGACGGGGAAGGACAAATTTGGCTGGATGGCTTTACCTGCAGTGGAACTGAAACAGAATTAAGTAGCTGTGGACATAAAGGTTGGGATACCCATAACTGTAATCATGATGACGATGTAGGAGTCTGGTGTTTCGACGCATCTGAGGGTAATCATATATTTACCATCTGTGTAGGACTTTCGTATTTAACATAAATATAATATTTTTTAAATTATTGTTTCCATGCTCTTTTTGTAACTGATGTAGTAAAAACACATATAGTAAAAACTCATTAAAATGTTTTCTTGGGGTGTTACAAATACACACCCGGTTTAACTAACCATTTTCTTTGATAAATGCCTTTACCAAGTTAGAAAGACGACATTTGTTTTACATTCGTGCTGTAGTTGATTTTTTGTCAAATTAATGGACTTTACCCTTTTTTTAATTTACCTTGGGGTTTGCTTTTTTTGTTTTATTTGTAAAAATTTAGTATGAATTCAGTAAAACTAGTAGAAACACTGACAGACTCATTAAACAATAATAGAAAAAATGGTTAAAAATACTTGACGGTATTACTCGCCAAACAAGAAAATCATATGCAACAAAACAGACAATTTGAAAGTAAAATGTCCGTGAATGGTAAGAAAAGTCTCCAATCAAAGAAGTTAGATTGCGTGAACAAGTGTGTGTTCGTCACCCAACTTATTTATTCATGCTTTTATCTTTCAAATAAAAAGGTGATCTACGATTAATTGGTGGAACTGACTATGGTAGATTGGAAATTTACCACATCAATTCCTGGGGAACAATTTGCGATGATGGTTTCACTAAATACAACGCAGTAGTTGCATGCAGGCAATTGGGATTAAGGTAAAGAGTTTAAAGCAGCATTAAAATGTGATTATAATTTCTCCTGTATCGTTTGCCCTTAATATACTACAAAAGGGAAACAAATTTTTTTTAAAAGCTATAATTTGGCTTTTCTTTGCGGATCCTTATTGCTATATAGCTTATAACGTTGCTACGAATCTATACATCCTTAGCTTTTAAATGTTTAGGTTATAACGCTCCTGAAGGATGTATCTACAGAAAATCGCTCCAGACGCTAAAGGTGTATAAAGCGTCATTTACTAACTGTCGTTTATACTTAATAAAAAGGTTGACCATGACCCTTTCTGACCACCGCATGTAAAATTTGACGGCCCAATTGCATTTTGGTGACAGGTATATTTGATGAACCTCGAATAACCACAGACGAATGTTGTTAGTGAATATTCATTCAAAGGAAACCAATTAGTTTTTAATCGTTTTATTTTTTTTTTTTTATTTTCATTTCCACTTTTTGCAACTTTTTTTTCGGGTACTGTCGGACAACAGTTGTTATATTTGGTTGGAGACTTAAATTCGTGGGTACAGCAAACCACAAAAACCACGACAATTGGTACCCCACGAACAAAAGTACTTTTACAGTATTTTAAAAATAAATTTCAAACATAAGTTATTCTTTGGGTCCTTCGTAATAGACAACCATGAATCTAGAAAAAAGTTATTAGTATTCTATTAATAAATTTCTATTCAACATTGTTCGTTGAAAAGAACTTCAAAATATAAATGCCTTTTTCGACCATAGAAGTACGAATGCCGAATTATAAACTGCTCCTAAGGGTGAAGGAATGATATGGTTGGATGACGTTGCCTGCAATTTGACAAAATCTGGTATAGATATGTGTAACCATATTGGCTGGGGAATTCATAACTGTGGACATGGTGAAGATGTTGGTGTCAGATGTTATGGTAGCTATGAAACATTTAAAGGTACACTAACGAATGTTTGGAAACAAGTGAAACACTAATACGTCTAAATTGTTGTTTTTTATGCAAATATGAAAATAAAATGTTATTTAAAATCAAATAGTGATATATAAAAATAAGTAGAAGTAGTATGGTTTTCAATGAGACAACTCTCCGCCAAAGACCAATTGACGCAGAGGAAACCGTACAACCTTCAACAATGAGCAAAACCTATACCGGATAGCAATCTATAAAAAAGTCCCGAATTGACAAATGTAAAACAATTTAAACTTGAAAACTATTGGCCTGGTTTATGAACAAAACAATATGAGACAACTCTCCACCAGAGACCAAATGACGTAAGTCACCAAACGGCCTTTAACCACGAACAAAGTCCATACTACATAACAAGCTATAAAAGGCCATCAAATGTAAAAAAACAATTTCAAACGAGAAAACTGACAACTTGATACATGTAAAAAAAGATATACTTTTCTACATTGCTTAATAGATTTGTGCTTTAATACCAAAGTATTTACATATACATGATATTTAAATGACAATATGTTAACGTCATTTAAATATATACATTTCTTTGCAATGAAACAGGAAAGTTTACCATACATTATTTCTCTTTGGGAAAAATGGTATTTACGTTTTTCGGTACTTATTCATACTTGACTTTCAATTTCTTTTGACTTTAGGCGTTCCTGATAAATGTAAATACAGAAATGCGATTCAGACGCATACAATTTATCCAGTTTATTTTCATTTTTTCAGAAGTCTTAATACATGGTTATATCTACACATTCAGATCACTTCAACCAATCATGATTTATTAAAATGGAGCAAATTTCTATCAGGTCATAATTATCGACTTGGAATTGAAAAAAAAAATGATTGATAAAAAATCAAAATACTAAAAAAAATCATATTACAAAATATAATCATTAAGAATTAGTTAATATTCATGTGTTTTAAAGTAGCGCACGCGCAACAATCAAGCAGTTCAACTAGATAAAAACATATAGTTGAAATAAATAAAGAACTATCATATTTATTTCGACATGAATATTGTAGCCATTTTCATTTTTATATTGATTTCATGTATAGGTGATCTGCGTCTAGTTGGAGGCGACACTCCTAGAGATGGACGTTTAGAAGTGTATTATAATGGCCAATGGGGAACAGTATGCGATGATGAATTTGATATCATAGACGCTCGTGTTGCATGTAGACAGCTCAGATATAGGTATTTTTTTCAACGCTATATTTGTTATATATATAAACAATGTAAAGTATATAAAGGAATGTGTAATAAAAACAATTGACAACTTTCGTGTTATCCTGACACGAACGTTTCGTTTTTACCAATTTGTCAAGCGCAAAGAACATTGTAGCATATTAATAGTTACATAATGTGCTAGTAACCTAATACTATATATAAGGGGTCGGTAAATTCCATATTGGGCGAGCGACAAATACTGACCGTGTATTTTAAAAAAAATACTCCAACTGACCTTATATCAAATATGCATGGTTCAAACGTTTCGCTTGAATCCGTTGATATTCATTGAAGCTGATAGAAGGTCAGATATACATATATGCAGACTCTATTACTTTTTCGTAATAAAAAGTGTTACAACGAACAACTGAATCAAAGCACACCTGCTTACATGCAAATGTAAGTCTTAATAAATCTGTTCATATAAAAATCGTCCACTGGTTTTAGTACCTATGCATTAACACCTCTTTAAATATTTCAATATGGAAACATGAAAAATTGTAGCACAGATGCTGCACAGATATACAAACACGGCGGGGCATCGTCAAATACTAAAATCTGGATGGATCAGTTGAGATGTGTTCCAAGTCATATACGATTGGAAAATTGCGGAAAATCGACTTGGGGTAGTAATGAATGTAATCATAATGAAGATATCGGTATCAAATGTTTCGGAAAGTATGTCGGTAAGTATTATGTGTCATCTATTTTGTATTTGTTTTTATTTTTCTCATTAGGCAATCATGCATCTACAAACACATTCAATTGAATGAATATACGTTTTCTTTACTTTGTAGTTATGACTGTTTCTGACCGTCACACAGTAATCAAACTAAGCCACCGCTTGGTTACAGATTGGTTTGAATAGGCACTGACAGCTTCCTTTGTAAGGAAAACGATAGTCAGTATGATCGATTATTCAAACGAGCATGATACTGCAAAACCATTTTTTACTGTGAAAAACTTTTTATAATATAACTTTCGATTCTTAACATTTCCACATTTAGACTAAATTTCTTGAATAGGGTAATCATACTTAGTTATGGGTTTTCTTCAACATATTTTACAGTTCCCTGGCAAAATAAATCTAATGAACACAATGTGTGTATGCTTTATGCAAAATATTATTTACTCCAAATCCGTACGAACGTTGAAATTGTTTCTTCATTTGTATCGGCAAACGTGTTTGAAGCAAGCTTATTTTTGCAGCTCTTTTTGAGTTATATAGCTCTTCACTGTTTCGATTCTTATACATGTTATACATCTTTGGCTTTCACAAATTCGACTTAGAGCGTTCCTGCTGAGAGTAAATCAAGGAAAGCGCTTCGGACGCATGGAATTTATAACGTGTTGTTTTCATTTTTAAACAAGGGGAGGAGTAAACATGTGGAGATAAACAATGCTTATCTCATCTTTGGAACTAAAGGTCACCTGTAAGTCACTTTTAAAGCACTTATTTACCACTTCAATACGATGAAAAGCATTTGATTGCCTATCGAGACCATATGACATTACAGAAAATACATAATAAAAGATTTTGCAAAGTAAAGCTACCATCACATCCTGTATAAAACTTTATTATGAATGAAACTGTATGCTCATTATCGTAAGCTTCGTTTAATCGTATGCTAACAAAGTGTACAAGTGGTGAAATGTAGGCGCTATATAAAACGACAAAACTAACATTACAATCTAAAGAGTGTGATTTGTGAAAAAAATTAATTTAACTGTTTTAGTAAGTGGAAACTGGGGTGCGTGGTCTGTTTGGAGTTTGTGCAGCGCTTCGTGTGGAAGTGGAACTCAACAAAGGCGGAGATTATGTAACAGTCCTATTCCATCTGCAGGAGGCAGTGACTGTAATGGAACGGGTAGTCAAACACAAAATTGCAATGTAATAAATTGTCCAGGTAGATATTTTTAAGTCTTGTTTAGTTGCGTTTCGTTTTTTGAAATAATGGTTTAAGGTTAAATGCATAGAATATATTTGTTTTTGTTTTGAACATGCATGACACATTTGCCACTGGACGTTAAGCAAACAACGACCAATCAACCAATATATTTTGTCAGTTTTGTTTTAGCTTGCTGTATTATTGACTTACATGTTTATGCTATATCTTTTTTTATTCTATTATACTTTATTTGTGTAATGTGTTCTTTTTCACATTGTAAAATTGTAATTATGGTCAAACAGAGCTTAAATGTATAACTAGTATAACACTATACAGTACGCATCCCTCTATAATACATGTAACTTAATTGGATTAATTGATACTTATTGACTCAATATTGTGGGATCAAATTTGTGTAGTTTTCCTTATACTTACTTTTAGTTGGCTTTTAATGTTTTGACTTTAGAGCGTCACTGATGAGCTTTCTAAAGATGAAACACCCGTCTGATGTACAACATTGTAAGCCTGATATATTTGATGAGTTTTTTTATAAAAAAAAGAAATATCAAGTTTGTTCCAATATGGAGCGGGAAAAATTGCTAGAGTAGTGTAAAGAACTTTTCATATCATGAACAAGTCCTTCAAACTCTATTTGTGACAATAACTAAAGTTCTTTCATTTAATTGCAAACAGACATATATCGAACTTTTTGTTATTTCAGTCAATGGGGACTGGAGTGGATGGACTTCTTGGAATCTCTGCAGTGCAACCTGTAACGGAGGTATTCAAGATAGAACCAGGAAATGTAATGCACCTTTACCATCAAATAGAGGAATATATTGCAATGGAACAATTATAGAAAGTCGTCCTTGCAACAACATTTTCTGTGAAAGTAATTAGAACATGTACATTTCTTAAGCATATGTTTGACTATGGAAACGATTTTCTTAACATGGAAACATTTCTATTCATAATTCTCTTTATACAAAATCCAAATATGACATGTATAACTACTATCATAAACAAGGTTACATTAATTCCTCCAAAATTCAGGCAAAAATATGAAAAATTTGGTTTTTTATTGGGAATGGTGGATGGAATGGTGAATAGTGTATGTTGTAATAATATCAAAAACTGTAATTTTCTTTAAAAAAAAACGATATCAATTTTTATACAAATGTGATACCACGAGGACGTATATTGATGCTTAAACTTCTTTCAGTTCATGGGCAATAGGGACAATGGCAAGAGTGGAATGTTTGCAATACAACTTGTGGAAACGGATTTAAAAATCGATCCCGGAAATGTGACAGCCCTTATCCAATGTTTGGTGGATCTGAATGCGTTGGACTAGATTTCGATATTCAAATTTGTTTTCAAGACATGTGTTCAGGTAAAATGATATACTTTTTGTTTCAATGACCACTTTTATGTTATTTGGCATTTCATGGGGGTTTATGTATTTCCTTTTAATAGGGTATGCATTTATTATTATATGTTTCAGTCCCCACTTAAAAACAGACGAATTCTTAAAATTAAACCATTGTTTAATTAACCTAAGTTACCACAAGATTCCTAACTGGGGATAGTATTTTAATGTTTTGCTTAGATATGTGAACAAAAGGACATGATTGGTCCTTTTTGTGAGATATATTTCCATCAGAAACGTGTAAATGTACATGTACTTTGCCCCAACTATTTTTTTAACTTAAGCTTAAAAGCAGATTTTCCTTTTTTTTTCAAAAATAGACAGCAACGATGTAACATACACAATAAGATTACAAATAATAACACACTGTGCAGTTGCAAATAAATAATTAAATGTATCTCCACAATGCTGTTTGTTGTCTGGTCATTGACGGACTCTATTCTCACTAGTAGTGTAATTAAAATTTGATAATAATAAACGGAGACGAGGGTTATGATCAATAACATAGCAATCAATTGATCAAATGTTAAAATAAATACAAATTGGGATAAACACGCATCATTGATACTCGGCTTAAGATTTGGTACGCAGTCGCGCGATTTGTTTGCACAAAACTCAACCGTTTCGCTCGGATCAAGCTAGTTTGAAGACATGCGTGAAGTAAAACTAGATTAATCAATGCGTGGTTCGGTCACACGTTGTCTTATTTTTGATATTCAAATATGGCGAACAGCTATACTATAATTATGTTTTTAGATATTATGAACTACAATTATATGACATTATTAAAATATTTGCTTATCTTGAAACAGTAAAACGATGCATATTTATGTCATTTTAGATTGTTTTCTTAATTGAATGTAACATATACAAAAGTATTATCATAGTTTTGTGTACTATGTGATTTTTTTCACATAGTGCGTGATGATAATGTTTAATTTAATTTTTACAAGGAAACAATTAAGAAACTGGTAAAATTATCCAAGGACTGTTATCAAATTTATTTGACTTAAGTTACTGCGCATAATTTTGATCAGAATTTAAATGTAAGCAATACATATTAATATCGTCCAGTAAGTCTGACTTTATTATTTTCAGGTGCTCAACAACAAATAAAAGAAGATGCATCAAATTTGTTCTCTGCTGGGTTTGTTGGAGGTGTTGCCGTTGGTTGTATTGTTATCACTGCGGTCATTATTTTCATAGCTCTCTTTATATTCCTCAGATTTAATCCTGGTCAAGTTGGTAAGTTTATTCGAAACATTAATTTCAGAAGTAATAAAGTAACTATTAAGCCACACACAATCAATCAATCAATCAATCAAATACATTAAAGAACAAGTCATTGTTAACTCTGTTCATTTAGTTCGCTCAATTATGTTTCATTAGTTATTTTCAGTAATCAAGCTGAATGTCTGTTTTTTAAATGGATTAAAGTAAATTTTCGAAAATATTGATAATTAAGTAAATATATAGCTTAATCATATATTCAAATGACCTAGAGCAGATCACTTAAAATCAATCTTTTGACACTACTTATATAGTTATTAATCCGCAATACAATGAGCTTACAACAAATCATACATTCACTTTACCTCAGGTGAAACTTAAACAAAGATATAACAAACGAACAGAAAGTAATTCTTATACTCAAACTAATTTTGTAACACTTGCAATCACAGATAATCTTAGACAATTGTATACCTGGTGAGTTTATACTATCAACATTTTACTCAAAATGTAAAATCGTATGCAAGTTTCGAAACTTTTTATTGTACCTGACCAAACACACGAAGGAGACATTTATTTGATTTGTTGCTTAAGAAAACAATTGCCCTGTATGAAATAAGTAAAAACGTATCCTGTTCACTGATTGATAAAAAAATTATGTAAATTTACTGTTGCATGTTAGATGTAAAAATCATTTGAAACAGTAAGGTGTAAACCCAAAGATAAAGATGATCTTAGCCAGATTTGGCACAACTGTTTGGAACTTTTGTATAGCCAAATAACTACTTGAATTCGTGTACCAATGATCGAAACGTGTGCCAGGGGAAATGAATCATAAGCCTGGTATCGATTACGACTTTTTCTTAAGGTTCTGATGCAGGTAAAAAAAAAGTCTATTTTAGAATGAAATTTACAAGTGTGTTTATATTAGACAATGGTTAAAACCTGTTGGTGCTGATTCAACGATTCAAATAAACAAATAATGAACAAAACAAAATAAGAGACACACAAAATGAACAATATGTGTTTAGTTTAGATGTTAGGAAGTACATGTATATCTGTTTGTATAGAATTTTTACTGGGTTATTCACAATGAACTCATGTGCACAGGATGAGCTTTTACTAGTATGTGGTTTTGCTTTCCAGCAAAAAGAAAAAGAAATGAATGGTAAGCTAGCAATTTTTGTATATTTAAAACGTAATAGTATTTTTTTTTTCATTTTCGGCCCCACTTTAAAGTTATTATAAGGTAATAACATTTTCGGTGCCAATATCTCTGCACCAGATGAACAAAAAATATCTCTTCAGTGTTGCTTGGTGCCAACATATTTAAAAATCCAAAACCTTTTAAAAACATGAAGAGCTTCTCAACTAAAAAGGACAAAAAAAAAGAGTAGCCAAAAGCCGGAAAATGTGAACACGCATATTTGTGCAAGCACGCTCAATATCAGAGTAATAAGGACAATTATGTCCTATTGTTTTCAGATAAGTGTTCAAAAATGTTTTTAATTTGTTTAGGATTCCCAAAATTGAAAAGTGGTGCGGAATATGTTTACATGTAATATAATAAATGATGAGGAAATTAGAGTAAAACGTGTTTTATGCCATACATTTTGGTTAATTCAACGAAACGATCCAGGTGGAAGGTTGGGTAATGAAGACCCTTAATGTTACATGCATGTATGTATTATTTTAATTGCGTTTCCTTTCATCTGTCACTTCAGCATTCAAAGAGGAGGAGACGGCTGCTTACAGTCCTCATTTTTTTTCATTTAATTAGTTAAGATTGGACGAACTTTTAAATGCTTATTATTACAAACTTTCTATTTAACCAAACAGTATAAATAATTCGCCGTTTCTGAATCTAATGCATTATGGGTAATATTTTCAAAGTATACACCACACAGTCGTGATTGATTGAAAATGTCCTAAACAATAGAAATTCAATCAATGATTTGACGAATTTTACTTGGGGTACGAACACCTAAATTACCAATAGTCCTTTAGAATATAAAACGGCCTACTCAATTGATAGAACGTTGTGCAATTATATTTAAAAAGAGTACAAATCTGCTTCACGTGAAGGCAAAATATGTAACGAGTTTATCTTCCCATATCCATTCACTTCGAAGACCAGTTAAAGTTGATTTGGTAGCCCTGTTTCCCCCTACATTAAGGTAATGAGATAATCGTAATAGAAAGTTCGCATGTTAAGGACTTATACTTCCTTGAATTTCAAGTATTTTCATTCCGACGCAAAGTTATGTCATCAGTTTACATTATATAAATCTAAAAAAAAAGAGAAAAAAATTACCAAACCTAAATGGAGTTTGTGTCTTATTCAATAATCCTAAATTGAAGAGTTCCAAAAGTATAATGACACATACATGAGTTGAGGAGGCTGCCTCAAATGTAAAAAATGTTTCAAAACACAATCGCAAACGCATGTTTTTACAAATTCTTGAGAGAAAAAAATACATACATTGCGAAACATCAGTTATTCGAAAATAAGTACTTCTTGCAAAACCCTCATACAACATAAAATACGTATTTCGTTTCATTTGTTAGAACTTGTTCTTTCATTGATTAAAACATTTTAAATAATATATGAAAAAAGTTAATATTTGACTGTATTTCTCATTTTTTCAGTACTAACGAAGGCCTTAGTCAACTCAGAATAACCAGTCAACCAAATGATTATGAATGTACGGGGCGTTCTATTGGTACACAGAGTGGTGTTTATGACACTTGTAGTAATACCGAGGTTGCTACATCTCATACTCAGTGTAATGTTGACAATACCGAGGTTGTTACAGCTCATACTCAGTGTAATGTTGACAATACCGAGGTTGCTACAGCTCATACTCAGTGTAATGTTGACAATACCGAGGTTGCTACAGCTCATACTCAGTGTAATGTTGACAATATCGAGGTTGTTACTACTCATACTCAGTGTAATGTTGACAATATCGAGGTTGCTACTACTCATACTCAGTGTAATGTTGACAATACCGAGGTTGCTACTACTCATACTCAGTGTAATGTTGACAATATCGATAGGGGTGCATATGCTAATACTCAATTCAATGCTGACAATAATGAAGAAGTATACGAAAATCTGAAAGTACAATGAATTAGAAACTCTTAAATATGTTGTGTAACTTCATACTTTTATTTCTGTAATTTTATTTGAATATCAATGTGTGATATTAACAAAGTCACATATTAATAAAACATACTGGTCAATATGAAGGTATTATGTGTAAAACTTGATTTGCACTTTGTTTTCGCCTATATAATGTACTTATTTTTTTCTTATTTTATATGTAATAAATCAATTAATGTGGATAATCTTTTCTTTCATTAATTATGCTTGCTTTCCATTCTGGTATTTGCAATTTTCTACGGATAAAAAAAATACAGTAACTGTTATAAATCAACAACATGGTCAGTTTGAGGAAGAGAGGCAAAAGATACTAAAGAGATATTCAAACTCCTAAGTCAAAAACAAACTGAAAATGCCATGGCAAAAACGAAAAATGACGGAAAGAAAAACAACAGTACACAAAACACAAAATAGAAAAACTAAAGAGTGAGCAACACAAACCCCACTAAAAACCAGGGCTGGTATCAGGTGCTCCGGAAGGGTAATACAAATACAACACAATATGCAAAAACTAAATTTCCAAGTTGTCTTTCATATGAATGCAACAATAAACCTTCAGTACGAAAAACAAATATAAATTTTGAAATCAATGTCGAATAAGAAGCCACTGAGTATTGTAAAAGTGAAAAAAAAACATGACTGTGTATTGATGGATCTCGCACTGTTTACAAGATTTGTTTCGTCTAACGATCAAATATCATACATGTTACCTAGATAAAACATCTTGACCGACAGTTATCTGTCAATTCACTAACAAAATAAAACGGGTCAGCAAAAATATAAAAATAATTAAGAAGCAAAAATAAAAACAAATGATTGAGCAGCAAAAATTCTAAAGAAAACAAGCTATCCGAAGTTAGTAAGAGGCCTTGTAGGTGGTTGTTGTATGACATATCTTACTGCGTTCTGTTTCTTTGTATCACGATAAAGTACTTCTGACAATTAGAACAGTAAGTTGTAGTAACTGCTGGGGTTTTTATTTGTTACTTTGTGAAGACATAACAGTATTCACATATTACCTTTGACGTTAATAAAAAACTGATTTAATCGAACAATTAGTCCACTGGGAAAGAAAATGTCAGTAGTAATTGAGAGCCGTTCGCGTACAAGATAAAGGCGGAAATGATCAAATTCGCTCAGACTTGCTATATGATAAGGTTATTACTCATAAAAGGAGTCGACAAATCCATCTAGTTACATTAGTAAGTTTTACTGGTATAGCCGTTCTTAATGTTTTTTGTTCATATTTTCTGTCTGTCGTTAATAAATTTTCAAGAAATTCAAAACTCAGTCAAAAATTATTATTGAAGGGATGGGTGTATATGCAACTCATCTGAGGAATACATAATACGTTATGATTGAAGCAGGTAAGGTTTCCGAAGACTCACAGACAATAAATAAACAGACAGATACCTCAACCACCAGTTGTGTCTATAGACAATCCAACGCTTACGGATCATGTTCTCATGCGTCCAGTACGTGTTCGACATAAACATATATATATGATAGCGATCGGGGTACTTTGTTACTAAGGCTGACATCTTAGTACTGCCTTTACAGAATTAAGCTGATTATAGTTTGGGTGTTTTATATTGATGCGTATCTTTTTCTTGGTTATAGAGACAATCATGGAAAGCTTTGTATTCTTTGGTTTCTATGGACAGTATTATATAGTAAATGTGTATTGTTTCTTTTTTGTTGAGTACTTGAATATTTGCAGTTTGCTTTGTTGATTTTTTTTTGTTTGAAATGACAGGGACTTCATTTAAAACTGAAACGGGGAGCAATAATCTTGCTTTTAAAATTTTATTCTTGAATATATTTTTTTTTTTAATTTTGCTAGTATATTTGTGATATCGCAGAAACCAATGCTCTAACACTCTTGTATTCTTCATACTTTCCTATTTTGGAACTCAATAGATGTGCTGAACTGAATATTATTTGTGTGATGTCAATGTTGATGCAGTTTCGTTCGTAACGTTCATTTTGATTAGATAACGTCACCAATTTCCATGGCATCAATTCACAATTCATTATCATGTCCCAATAACGTTTACATAGTACATGTATTTGGAGAAAACTAAAAACATAATAGAAGACTAATTATAAGCAAATATGCTTCAAACAATTCTTTTTTCTTTCAAATCAAATTGTTAAAACCCAACCTAATATGCCTTCAAAATACATTTTTTTTAATGTGTTAATATTTGAAAGCGATAGCAAAAGATTGATAACAAAAAAAAAGCAACATTGTGACAACCATGAGTGCTTATTAAGAAAATATTAACACTACGACTGAAAGAGCAAATCCCGTAGAAACAAATTGATCTTTAAATCAGACAATAAAATTAAAAAACAAACTTTCAAACTCGATACATACATGACATAATATTTATTTTCACTTATACCAATGATATGTGTAACACAGCTCGGCACTTTATTGGAAGGAAATCAAGGAAACTTAGGTGGAGGAAAAATGGAAAACTTACGATAGATATAAGAAGATGTGGTATGAGTGCCAATGAGACAACTCTCCATCCAAGTCACTGTTGTAAAAGTAAATCATTAGAGGTCAAATACGAAAGCCGAGAAGGAATTCAAAATTCAAAATTCAAAATTCAAAATTCAGAACTCGCAGATCAAGAAAGATAATCCTGTTTTATTGCAGTTGAAATCCAAACACAACAAATATTATCATAATCGTTCACTTGATCTTAGATATACCGTAGATTAATAATATAATTGTACACAGACAAACAATCAAATTTTTGAATGGATATGTGCCGACATTATGTCAGACAAGTGAAACATTTCTTGTTATCACTTATACTCAGGGAGAGGGGGATATCGAGTGTCACTTTAATCCTCATTCGAATGTTTTATGTTTTTCTTCAGTTCATAACTTGAGAATGATTCATAATAATAAAAATAAGAAGATGTGGTATGATTACCAATGACACAACTCTTCCCAAGAGACTAAGGTGAAAACTGTTAAACAATTCAAACGATTAATGTACAAAATAATGAACGAAATACAAATTTGATATACAGCAACAAACGACAACCACTTAATTACAGGCTCCTGACTTGGGACAGGCAGATACAGACTGTGGCGGGGATAAACTAGTTTGACGGCGCGCCAACCACCCCCCCTTACCTGGGAGAGTGGTGTAACAGTACAGCATAAGAACAAACTATAAAAATCAGTTGAAAAGATCTTAACTCATCAGATCGATACAAAGTAGAAAAAGAAATAATCCAAGCGCCTGTAAATCTTGTAGAATTCGGAAATTATGAGAAAGCACCTCAAAGAATTAAGGGAATTACATTGTCTTACAATCAATTATTTTTACAACTTCAAAACCTTATTTTTCATGAAAACATTCTCAATTACATTTTGTCTTACTAATATATATCAGAAGCTGTTCTGGTAATTTTTAACATTTGACATAGTTTTTATTTTATCAGCTGTATGCGTGACACAGATTATAACGACATTCATCTTTAACATGTTAATGATAAGATTTGCATCATCAGTAATGGTTGCGGTAATCTGGGTTACTGTTTAAAAACAGGAGAACGGTTTTCAGCTTTCGTGTGTTCAACATTACCTTTATATCTTATAAAAGTAAACTATTGCAAATAGAATACATAACAAAGTATTTTGAAACGCACTTGGTTATTATAATATAGGTGTTTTTTATGTTTATTTGATATTTAATTGTGTGGTGGCCCTTTTGTACGCCCCTTAGGTGTTTGTGATTGCGAGTTTCCAGAAGGGAGAAACTACAATCTATTATCAAATTGTTGCTTTATGTGCATTTTTTCTTATATATCATATATTTAGGATAACAATTCTAGTATATCATATCGATGCACCTCACTTAAAATGTCCTATACCAAGTCAGGAAAATGGCCATTGTTATATTATAGTTCGTTTCTGTGTGTGTTACATTTTAATGTTGTGTTTTTGCTGTGTCGTTGTTCTCTTATATTTGATGCGTTTCCCTCAGTTTTAGTTTGTAACCCGGATTTGTTTTTATCTCTATCGATTTATGAGTATCGAACAGCGGTATACTACTATTGCCTTTATTTGTCATTTTATTGGCAACTTATTATTTATGAGCTACTGGTCTGCATTCTCAAATAAATTGGGGTCTATAACCGAGTGTCTTAATTGGCTTGTCGAATTCAACTGTAAAATGTGTTTATTTACAGTTTTTATTGTTCGCATCTATTTTTAGAAAAGTTTATAATTCTGACAGTTTTATGAAACTGTTATGAATGAATTATGTGCTTTGTTTGGACTTTTATATAATATTCATCGATTCTGGGCGATCCCAAGACTTCATTCGATTTTATATATTTTATTAGATAAAGCTGAGACATACATCTCTCCGGATAAAGCACATATGATAAATATGACATTGCGTAATCCAAGTGTACAACATACATGACATATACAACATGACAAATAAGGCCAACTAAAATTAATTAGTAGAGTTTCATCCATATGTTTGAAAAAAAATGGGGCGGGTAGGAGTATTTTATTTTTTTATTTTTATTTCCTCCTAAACCCTTTTGTGACGTGTAGTTCATATACAAGGGTAATAATCAGCTTATATCATGTATATATAAGGAATTCTACATTACTTTAAAATTCCTTAATTAATATTCCTGATTAGCAACCACTGTTCTACATGTAATGACCGCTTTAGAAACCTATTTTATATAATAAAAATAAATAGCAAAAAAGTGGAAAATTGTTCTCAGTAGTCATCCCAATGAGACTAGACCACTTTTTCCCCGTTGACCTAATGTTAAAGCCACCATCTTGGTTGGAGGAGGGATTTTCAATAAAGGTCAAACGGTCAATATAAGTAATAAACAGTTGCAGCCGATAGTTGTATTGTCAGCTAATTAATTATAATTCCTACATCAAGATTGTGATGAATATTTCAATTAAGAAACGTTTTTAATTGAATTGGGTATGTCATCAGGTAATTATAGTTAATAAGTATAAAGTAATTTCAGAATATTACACAATGACTAACCAGGTAGATATAGTTTTGACAGGTGTAATTTTAACAATTAGATTAACTTAACTTGCCATCATTAAGGAAATACATGTTATTAATCACGAGATAGATGACAGAAAATAGTAAGAAGAAAAATCCACGTTTAT